AGATCTGATATCATCGCCACTGTGGTGGAATTCTGCACAGACTCCAGAATCTCGCCACGTGTATTGATCTTGGTGAGCATTTTACGCTTCCAGGAGAGCACTACGAGTTCCTCGTTACCCAAATAAACCATGCCGACGGTTTTAGCCTGAAAAACGAGGTTTTTTTTCGGGCCCATAACTTTGACTCGATTTTTCTCGGTTCCTGTAAAAGATATGAAAAAGTTGACAACTAATAAATTGGTAATTATAAAATCATGCACGTTTTATCAGTTGACAACTTTTTCATATCTTTTACAGGAACCGAGAAAAATCGAGTCAAAGTTATGGGCCCGAAAAAAAACCTCGTTTTTCAGGCTAAAACCGTCGGCATGGTTTATTTGGGTAACGAGGAACTCGTAGTGCTCTCCTGGAAGCGTAAAATGCTCACCAAGATCAATACACGTGGCGAGATTCTGGAGTCTGTGCAATTCTCAGAATTCTGCCAACCGACCGATGTCGCTGTCGACTCACGTGGCCGATTTGTGATTGCCGACATGACCAAAATCTTTATCTTTGATGGCAAATTCAAGCCAGTGCTAAGTTTTCCAGTTCGCGAAACGAAGGGAGCCGAAGTGAAGTGTGTAGCCGTCGGGATGGATGATGACGTCATCGTGGGGACGACAGATGAGTTGCTTCTGTATGATTCGGCTGGAAGGATGTTGAGGAAGTTGAATGTGTCACCACCTGGGACACCAATGCCCAAGCATGGGTAAGTTTTTAGCAATGGAGCGAATTCGCTTTATTCATGTAATTGCGCTCGGATGATGATTAAGCTAATTACGGCATTGCTCTGATCGAATTTCGATGCCGAAAATTCAAGAGTCGGCGGAGCTTCGGTACTGTAGCGAAATCCTCAAAGGCGCATTTAAAGGANACATGTATTATCGTGAATGTTTTCTGGTCTATTTTTTTGTTTTTTTNTGATAAATTCTATCAATTTCGAGCTGTTTTTTTACACAGAAACTCAAAAATTCCAAAAATTGCCTAAAAACTAAAATACCGTAAAATCTGTATTGATATTGCGCCTCTATTTGAATTGCCCCTCTAATAGACTTGCACCCCTTGAGGGCACTTGAAAAATAGACTTGCAGCCTTTAATTGAATTGCCCCCGTAATACAATTGCATCTCCAGCAGAATTGCGGCTCCGCCGGGAGTACTGTGCAATTTTTAGTCTGGGACACCGTGACGAACAATTGCACAGTTGTTTTTCGAATTTCTTTTTTTTTAAACTACCTACTTAATTTCTGATTTATTTTTATTTTTCTTTGTTTTTTTAACAATATTTTCCATTTATTGAAGCGAGCAACACGAGCAATGAGTTCTGAAGAAGTCCTCGAAGACGTGGAAAACGTAGAAGACGTGGAAGACGTGGAAAACGTGGAAGACGTGGAAGACGTGGAAAACGTGGAAGACGTGGAAAACGTGGAAGACGTGGAAGACGTTGAAAAAGTTGGTGGAAACTCTAGAAAGAGAAAGCGTGGAGCCCACCCCTTGGATTACAAGCTTACGGTGGTGAAATGGGCAGAATCAAAAAATAACACGGAAGCAGCTAAGAAATTTGGAGTTTCAAGACAAAATGTGCAACAATGGAGAGCTCAGAAAGAAAAAATAATAGCAACAATCGCTGAAAATGGAAAAAAGAAAAAACGGCTTGATGGCGCAGGGCGTAAAGTGAATGATAAAGATTTTGATACTAAACTTGCGGAATGGGTCCGAGAGCAAAGAGAAAAAAAGCTTCGTATTACTGGTATTGGAATCCAGAATCGTGCCCAGGAACCGAGATAATTGTGCCTGAAGATACTAACCTGAAACTCCTCATTCCTGACATCCGTTATCACATCTCCGTCCTCCTTCAGCACCCTAACTCTCTTGTTCCCAGAATCTAGAACAAACATCCGCTTGCTCGGCTCATCCCACCAACACTTCGTTGGATACAAAAATGTGACTGGCATCTGCCAATCATAGCAGTGCCAATTGTCGATTCGAATCTGGAGGGGACTATTGGCAACTGGGCGGCCAAAGATTTTCACTGAGATTTGATAGTCACCGGGATGGGTTAGTCTGGAAGAATGGGTTTTGACTGCTTCAAAATTTGCCTAATACATGGTAGCGTTTTTAGGTCGCTAGCGAAAATTAGCCTACCGTACAACCAGAAAGGACCTTCTAACTTCGAGCCAATTTTTCTCCGTTCCTGTAAAAGATATTAAAAAGCGGTCAACTGATAAAATATTACTGATATTATGATAAACATTTTATCAGTTGACAACTTTTTGATATCTGTCACAGGAAATGAGATGAATTGGGCCAAAGTTAATGGCTTGATTTATCATAATCTCGACAACATTTTATTCGTTGACAACTTTTTGATATCTTTCAAAAGAACCATAATAAATTGGCTCAAATTTGAAATTAGAATGACTCCCCAAACACACAACCAACTGTGACCTTATGCCTTGCATACTGTCAACTTTCTGCCCATATATCTCTGTTTCTAAGAAAGATATCAAAAATGTATCAATTGACAAAATGTCTATCGTAATATGATAAACATTTTATCAGTTGATAAATTTTTGATATCTTTCATAGCAACTAAGATAAATTGACTAAAAGTTAGGAGGAGTGCTTACAGTCTGCAGTAGCCAGAAAAAAACCCAACTCACTTGAAACCCAATTGATAAGTCCCATCATTATCATCTGTCACTCTGATATTCTTGACTTCTTCCTCTGCTCGTTTCTTGGATGCATCTGCTAGCCGATTGGTGGATAGATGAGCATCCAGAGCAACTAGCTCCAAATCGACTTCCACCGGATCTCCACCCGTTTTTCGTGCGATTCCGTCCACGTCGCGAGTTCTGAACAATGCAAATATTTTAAATCTTATCCCAGAACCTCTGAACCACAGGTTCCGAACCAGAACTCACATCAAGGTACACATATTCTCCACGTGGACTCCCATGTGGCTTGGCGCTTCAATTGTAGATGTTCCTGGGAATGTGTTGGACGCATACAACTTTCCAAACTCATTCAAATTCTTTTCCACATCAATTAACATTTGTTCGGAGTTTGTATTGATTCTCAAAAACGCATTTTCTCGGGGTTCTATGATTCTTCGTTGCCAATTATCGTCAGCCGCTCCGTCTTTCAGTTGTCGAGCCATCGAGCGAATGTCCATTTTGCAGGATTCGAGATCCTGGAAAAGTTGGGATTCCAAAGTTAAGGACCTTCTAATGTTTGAGATTCTAGGATCTTCGAACGCTTGAAGTTCTTGCTAGGCGAGGTACTGTAGTTGCTCTAATAGAAGCCCATCCAAACCGGAAACTTTGAGCTCAGTTATCTCGATTCCTGTGAGAGATGACAAAAAATTGTCAACTACAAAATTGTTTATCATAATATCAAAAATATTTCTTTAGTTAACAAAATTACCATATCTTTCACAGGAATCGAGATAATTGATCTCAAAATTGATAATTTCTATTAGAGAAAATACGGTAAATGTCCCCTCTTTTGGAATATGAACTTACAATTAGCTTAGAATTTTTTGTATTAATTTGGTTTTTCATTTTCTCCTAATTTAAAATTTTATGAGAATTATTTCTCTTGTTAATAATTTAACGATAAGTCTGCTAGTTTTTGAGATACAACTAGAATGAAAGGGTTCCTGCTCTAACAGAAGTCCATCCTATACGTGCACTTTGAGCTCAATTATCTTAAATTCCGTAAGAGATATTAAAAATCTGTAAACTGATAAAATGTTGGTGATATTATGATAAACATTTTGTCAGTTGACTACTTTATGATATCTTTTACAGGAATCAAGAATTGCGCTTGAAATTGACGGTTTGGTTGGGCTCCTATTTCTGGAAAATATGGGTGGTGGCTTAGTAAAATCCCATCTGACCATTTGATTTTTGGTCATGTCAGCTTATCATTATGATGTTCAGCCTAAGCAATGATACATTTATGACCTAGAATCCCCCGGCCTAGAAACACCCACCTTTTGCAATTTCTTCTTCTCGTCCTGAATCACTTCCAATTGATCTTTCAACACCTTCCGTTTCTCATCTCTCCGTACACGGACAGTCTCAATGAGTACACGTCGTCGATTCTCGACCAAATTCGATACTTCCTGAAAACTTTAATCGTTTTAAAGGCGCAGCAGCGAGAGGAAATAATAGAATAGGGAGACCATGAGAAAGTGTGAAATTTGGAGGGTCTAGAGAAAAAGAGTAAACAGTTAAAAAACGAATTTTAGTGTCGTCGACGAAAAGAACAAGAAAAAAATAGGGGGAAGGAATGGAAGGATACAAAAACAACACACTTTTTTGTTTTTGAGATAGGGGGGGGGGAAGAGGAAATTGGAAAAAAAAAGCCAAAAGAGGATTTTTGAGAGATTCTATTTCTACAGTATCTCACCTGTATAGCTGCATTGATCTGCTCCACAATCTTATCCACATTCCCGTCCAAATGCACAATTTCCTTGTTCACTGCCACGTGGGCGTCGTCTAGTGCTCGAAGACGTCCTTTTGCTCGATAGACCACAATTTCGGACATTCGTTTGATGGCAATGGATAGAGGGACTACAGTATGCTCGTCGCACTTTTTACTGGAAAAAACATAAGTGTTGACCTAGAAACCATTAAATGGCCTAGATTTCCATTTTTAGGTCATGACCCCAATTTTTTAGGTCATGACCTAGATTTTGTTTTTTAGGTCATGACATAGATTTCAATTTATAGGTCATAACCTCGATTTCATTTTTAGGTCATGATCTAAATACTAGTTTTTAGATTATGACCTAGACTTTGATTTTTAGCTCATGCCCTAGATTTCAATTTTTAGCGCAATACCTAGATTTGTTAGGCTATGACCTGGATTTTTAAGGTCATGACCTAGATTTTAATTTTTAGGTCATGACCTAGATTTCAATTTTCAGGTCATGACCTAGATTTCAATTTCAAGGTCACGACCTAGATTTCAATTTTTAGCGCATGACCTAGATTTGTTAGGTTATGACCTGGATTTTGATTTTTAGGACATGAAATAGATTTCAATTTATAGGTCATAACCTAGATTTTAATATCTAGATACTAGTTTTTAGGTTATGACCTAGATTTCAATTTTTAGGTCGTGGCCTAAATTCCAATTTTTTGTCTAGGTTGAAATTGCTCTTTTTTCAATTGACCTTTTTTTAACATTCCGTAAAACCTGTAATAGAAGAACCCCTAACCTTCAACTTTGAGTCAAGTTATCTCGGTTCTTTTGAAAGATACCAAAAAGTTGTCAACTGATAAAATATTTATCACATTATCATAAAGGTTTTACAGTTGACAAATTTTTGATGTCTTGCTTAGGAATTGACATAATTGAGCTCAAAGTTGGCAGTGTGGGTGACCTTCTATTAAGTAAATCTCCATGTTTTAACTTTTGATGTCCTAGGAACTCACTTTATTACAGATGACTGACAGTGCTCACAGAACACCAAATCACACGTTTCGCAATACAAAAGTTGATCGGATGGATGGTTGGAGCACGATGGGACCACATCTTTTCGTTGTCTCTGAAATTTGATTTTTTGGAATTTTTAAGAATTTGGAAATTGTGATTAGGCGCGAACTCAAAAAATTTTAATTACCTGCATCACATCTAACAACTGATTGATAAAAAAAGCGGCTGGAAAAGCGATGACTCCACCGTGTGGAATAGCACAGATCTCACGGCATAGGGGACATCGGATCGTTGGTGGAATTGTCTGAAAATTTTTATTTTCAGATTTCAAAAACAAACATTTTAAATACCTCTGGAGCTAATTCAGCTAACTGGGTCACGCAGTACAAACAAACCGAGTGAGAGCACGGAAGGAGTTTTGGTTTTCGGGTGTTCTGGAATTTTTGAAAATTTTGAAGCTCAACCTGCAGGACTAAAAAGTTTGTTGAATCAGCGTAAAAGTACACAGACAGAAACTGACTACTAGTGTCTCAAAATTCAAAGAAATAGTATGTCAGAACGAGAGAGCCCAGACACGTTGGTCACGTGTAGGAAAAGGAGTATATATATATATGAGCACTATTGCACACCGCACCTCGTCCAGTAGGGTCTAGCAAAAGACGGAGAGAGCATCTAGTATTTATGTATACATGGAGTGCAGCAAGAAGAGGAAGAAGGCAAAAGTGTCAATTTTTGATATGTGAAATACGAGAAATCAAGCGGGGAGGTACCTTGTCCCATTGGGATGTTTGAATTTCTGGTCGTAATTCGGAGGGCCCTCTTTTTCTCGGTTTCTGTCAAAGATACAAAACGTTGTCAACTAAAAAATAGTTCATCATAATATTGGAAATATTTTGTCAGTTGACCCTCTTTTAATATCATCAACAAGAATCGAGGTAACTGAGCTCAAAATTGGAGGTTTCGGAGGGGGTCTATAGGAGCAATGGGCTCAAAATTAAAAGCTAGAGCCCTTCTATTAGAGGTATTTTGTGGTGATTCAAACCAAAAAATACTAGAACAGCTATTAAGCCACTAGAAAATTGTCAAGAATTTATTTGAAAAGAATTAAATCGATCAAAAATGATAAGCCGAAGAAAATCGGTCCATCGTGTTCCATCTAGTAGACCCCCCCCTCCCCCTCAAACCGCCAACTTTGGACTCAATTAGCTCAGTTCCTGTCAAAGATATCAAAAAGTTGTCCACTAATAAATTGTCTATCATAATACCGTCTATATTTTATTAGTTGACAAATTTATGATACATATTACAGTAACCGAGATATATAGGTTTAAAGTTGACCGCTTTGGTGGGTTTCTATTAGATGAAATACGGCGTAGTTTCTAACGCCATAATGGTCCAGGCAATTTTTTTGGGGTTTTTAATATGAATTGCTTCTAGAGACATTTGAAAACCCAAAGGTTGGAATTCAATATTCCATACTTTTACAACAACAACAAAAAAAACTCACCCCGTCATAAGTATAGAGACACGTTGAGCATGTTAGGAATGTCTCTGAAAAGTCGTCCACATTGATGTTCACTGTTTCTACCAGGGATGTAGAGGTGGTGGTGGTCATTACCTGAAAATATAGTTCTTGGAAATTTGAGAAGCAATAAAGAGATGAAGAGCTTTTAAGGTAAACAGTTCAAAATTAGCGTAAGATCTGAAATAGAAGGGTCCTTATATCTTTGGCAGGAACCGAGAAAAATTAACTCAAAAGAGCCCTTCTAAAACAGGCTTTACGGTATCTAAAGTCCCAAAAATTTTTCATCCAATGCCTCAAAAGAAACTAAGAAAAGTACAGTTATTTTAGTGTCACATGGGTGGTCTTTCCTCTGAAGAAAATCGGAAGGACGATTTGTTGTCTCTGACGTGTCTGGACAATCTCTTCTGATTACATACTCACTCGCATCTCTATTTCTCTATTTCTCTCTCCCTCTCTATCTGTCTTCCAATTCAAAAAGGGGGCAAGCATGTACGTAAAACAGCTGACTAAACGGACGGACGGCGGACAAAATGCTGCTGCTGGTGGTGGTGGAAGAGAGGAAAGGGAGAAGGAGGACAAATCTACGAGAACTGGTTTTTTTTTTCGCTTTGGAAGGATCGGAGATGCAAATTTTTGGATAATGTGAATTCATAGAAAAAGTTAGGAGAACTGTTCTAGCTATCCATTTTTATTAGATTTTTTTTTAATTTTTATGGTTTTGCGTGAATTCAGAAAAATGCCTTTTTTTCTAAAATAATGACTGTAACCTAGAACTTCATCAAGGGGTCTAGAAAGCCATGATTGGAGTTTTGTATAAAAGTTTGAATATAAATTATTTTGCTAATAACCAATTGTTTGACAAATCTCGTGATTATTGAAAAAGAACAGGAGGACCGAACTTCCAAATCAAACGAAAATTTTAAAAAATCTTGAGAACCTAACTGGAAAACTTTAACACTGTAAAACCCTGTCATAGAACTGTCAAGTTCCACACTGTCAAGTCCACTCTGTCAAGTTTGAGTTCAATCATCTCGACTCCTATAGGAGATAACAAAAATGTTGCAACTAACAAAATATTTTTAACATTATGATAATTAATTTATCAGTTGACAATTTTTGGATATCTTTCACAGGGACCGAGATAAATTGGCTCAAAGTTAACAAGTATGAGACCCTTCTATTAGAGGTTTACATCATGCTGGCTCGAAAATATTGGAATTTTCCATCTTATCAGTTGTTCTTATCATTCTAGACCTCCCCCTAGTAACTGATTTATTAACAAATAAAATTAGAAAATTCAGAGATTTGAGAACAAGGAAAAAACCCCAAAAACCTCTCAAACGGTAAATTTTAAAATAGACTAGCTAGGTTATTTCAAAAAAGAAGGTCACCCAGTCCACAGCAAGAAAAAGGGTCCAGTCCCATTTCAAAATGTCCTCCTTCTTGTCTCTGTTTTTCTTTGGCACTCTGTGTCTCTCCGACTCTCTCTATCTCTTAGATCAATACTCATTTCTTCTCTCTCATCGGAGCGCGGACGGAGAAAAGAGAGAGAGAGAGAGAGAGAGAGAGAGAGAGAGAGAGAGGGGGATAAGAAGAAGTATTGGTGTATGTGTACGTAACAAGGAGGGAATGGTGTTGGGTGATAGAAAGGGAGAGATAACGGAAGATGAAGACGGGCAGAGAAAGGTGAAGCTGCGGAGTGGTGAAATTTGAAGACGTGGAAAGCTATGGTTCAGCTCGCGATGGGAAGCAAAAGGTAATTCAACTTAAAAAGGCTAGCCTGTTATACAGTACCGTGTTTTTTCAGTTGAAACACGAACATTATGATCAATTTCAGGAGTCGGGAGCTTGCCTGTCAAGGTTCCGATCACTTTGAAAATTTTGGAAGGTGAAAAATGACCTAGATTGTTTTTCAGCCATTCGCCGGCTTCTGAAAGACGCCTTTTTTCACGTTTTCATCACAAATACGGACCTAAAGTAAGAGTCTTTCAGAAATGCGAAATAGCTGAAAAACTAGGAATTTTCAAAAAATTTTGTGAATGCAAAGTTTTCAATCTAGTTCTGTTTTACACTATCCAAAATTTTCTAACTGATCGGAAACTTGACATCCGAGATCTAGGCTTCTGAAAATGGCCGAAAATCAACTGAAACATATATTTTCGTATATCTTATCGACTAGATTATTCAGAAAAACCTATAGATTAGCACATAACAAATATGGAAACCAACACACAATCGATTAGTCATTCAACAAATTATTCCTGGCAACACACTTTCCAGCCGAATAGAGAAACAAAACTGAACACCTCTTCTTTTTTCGCTCTCTTTTCCGTTATTATAAGGGGGCGGGGTTTAAAAGCGGACTAGTACAGAATAACAGCTGTATATGACACCTGCGAGGGAAGCGTACAATTTTATATTGGAATTTGGTTTTTTTTTGTAGAAAATGTGAAGAATGTCGAGGTCGTCTATTGAGGACACCAGATGGTCGAGCAGGTGCGAAATAAAGTTCAGAGCATCACCGCCTGGTACATGGAGTAAAGTACATAGATTTATAGGTGTCAAATGTTTGTTATCTATTTGGGTCTTATCTAGAAAAATTACGCGTTTTTTAGCTGTTAAAAATCCTGAAGCCAAGCCGCCTTTGCTCTCAAAAAAGCTCACCACTTTGAGTTCAATTATTTCGGTTCCTTTATAGGATATCTAAAATTTGATAACTGATAAAACTTTTATCATAATCTCAGCTATATTTTATCAATTGACAGATTTTTGACATATTTCAAAGGAAGCGAGATAATTGAGCTCAAAGTTAACGGTTTGAGTGGGCGTCTATTAGAGGAACTACCTATTTTTCAAAGATTTTGCACAATTTTTCAATTATTCAATTTTTGTATTCTTTTTGGAATTTAAACAATCAATGTCAAAGTAGAGAGTCAGATACTGTACAGTGTTCGAAACGGACCAAATGTGAACAAGAAACTAACACCGTTTTGGAAAATTTCGAAATTCTCGATTTTCGAGAATTTCTGAGGGTGAACCTATCATTTAGTGGAGCACTGTATATCTGAGCCCCTATCAATGCCCTTCCTTTCGAAAAATTAAAAAATCAAACATTCATTAATTGCATTTTTCCCGAATGGCATCATTATCCTTTCTCCTCTTCATCTCTGATACAAAAACGCGTATGTATTCGTAGGAAGTGAGAGGAACAAAAAGAAACTTGATCTGTTTAAAAATTCATGGAGAAATAGGAAAGAAATGATCCCCATTCAGACATTGAATCGATCAGAAAGAAGAAAGTTTTGAAGCCGCTAGATACTTATTTTTTCTAATTTACGGTATAAGTCAATTTTGGTTCTCGTGATAAGGGACCCCAGAGAAACTTGGGGGTTTTATGGTAACAATTTTGTATGGGTTAATTTTTTTGGTTAATTCGTTTAGAAGCAACAAAAAGGTTCCAACAAAAATATGAGTATAAAAATGATTAAAAAATAGATGAACTCACATAACTATTTTAGAAGTTCTTCTTTTAGAAACCGTCAACTTAGAGCTCGGTTCCTTTGAAAGATATCAAAATTTTGGCAACTGATAAAACATTGGTGATACTATGATTAACAATTTATCAGTTGGCAATGTTTTCAAATATTTCGCAGGAATCGAGATATATGAGCTCATAGTTGATGGTTCGGGGACCCTTATACCGTAAACACTCTAATAGAACGCCACCCGGACCGTTTACTTTGAGCCTATATATCTCACTCCTTTTAAAAGATATCAAAATGTAGTCAATTAGTAAAAAGTTCATCATAATATCAGCAAAATGTTATTTGTTTCACAGAAAATGAGATACATGAGCTCAAATTTGACGAATCTGGTGACGTTCTATTAGAGCGTTTTAGGTATACGCCACGTGGAATCTGCCATCTGTATCCCTATTTTTTCCATAGGATTACCCTAATCAATCACCTCTCATTGTTTATATTATTTTCTCTGTTTCCCCTAATTTTCCTCCCTCTCACTCTCCTCCTCACACCCATTGTATCCCCTCGGGAACTCTTCCCCGCCGTGTCTTCCCACACTGGACAGAAGGCCAAATGGTCTTTTTCTCTCTCTCGGAGTCTCTCAAAAGTGTACAGTATCTTGTCTCGGTGATCCATCCGTTTTTTTTGTCTTCTCTCACTGACCTGTACACACTTACACACTCTCATTGTGACACACCTACCGACTTTTTTTTGAGGATTTGTTCCTTTTTTTACAGTTTTTAATCCGACGTGAAACTTGTAATAGAAGTCCCCCCCCCCCTTTCCACACTGTCAAGTTTGAGTTTATGTATCTTGGCTGCTATAAGAGATATCAAAACTATGTCAACTGAAGAAATGTTTAGAATATTATGATGAACAATTTATCAGTTGCCAACTTTTTGATATATTAGACGGGAGCCGAGAGAAATAGGCTCAAAGTTAACAAGTATGAGGCCCTTCTATTACAGATTTAATAGTTTTTTTTCAATTTCAAAATCTAGATTTTTCAAAACTTTTCCAGCTCTTGAATTTATTCTTTTCCTAGCTTCTATGTCCCAAAGTTTTTTTTTGTTTTCAACTTTTCCCTACTTTGTTCTTTCCGGTCCAGGACCAACCTCTTCTGTTTATATTTTTCTCCTGCCCGTCCGTACCCCATTCATTGATTCTTTCATTTCCCCTTTGCTCCAAAGGTTCCAAACATTATCGTTCGCAGCTTTTGTATACATTCAGAACACTGGAAATGAGTCATATTCTTTGATTTATAACGATGTTTCTATTCCATCCTCTACTATGGAGACAATTTATCAGAGGTGTCCTCCAACTTCTATTTTTGAACATATTCCAAGGCGATTCTAGTTTTTGAATTTTGTTATTCTCCCTGTTTCTAGACTTTTTGAAATAGAAAATGATGCCATTTTAATTTTCAAAAGACCAATTCGGTATATACCTTAACCTGAATTATCTTTTTTTAGTGGACCAATATTTTTCCGGAGCATTGATAATTGAGCCAAAGGCGAATTTCACTAAATTTTACGTATTTCCAGAAGATGTCAAACGACGGGGGTACCATATTCGGGGGACCCAGTGTCACCTCGTATGGAGGAATCGTGAATGAGATGTTTGATGGTGGAGGTGGTCCAGTGGACGGACCACCGGCGTCCAATGGGAAGAGTCCGAAGAAGGGAGCAGTTCCGTTGATTGGTGAGTGTTTATATTTTTAAAAAAATTTATGGTTTAAAAATTTGAATCTTCCAATATGGGACTTTCGAAACATATGGAATCCTTGAAAAATTATTTTGAAAATGAGAAAATACCGTACTTCCTCTAATAGAAGCCTATCCAAAGCGTCAACTTTGAGCTCAATTATCTCGGTTCCTGTGAAATATATCAAAAATGTGTCAACTAATAAAATGATGGTGATGTTATGATGAACATTTTATCAGTTGACAACGTTTTGACATCTTTTACAGTAAGCGAGATAATTAAGCTGAAAATGGACGGTTTGTCCCTGTTCTGGAATCAAAATTTGTTAAAGAAAAACTCAACTTCTAATAAACCTACCTGGTGCGTCTTTTTTAGTACGGTCTGTACAAAATCACCAAAACGTAGTTTTAAATTTTATAGAAATCATAAAAAGCCTTTTCACTCGTTTGAAGGCTCAAAATTGTGTAAATCTGATTCTGTAAGTTTCTGAAAAATTTGAATCCAACACCGGTTTTTTTCGAGCAAGTGTTTTTGAGGAAAAGAAACCACATATACCGTGAAACCTGTAATAGAAGGGCCCGCACACTGTCAAGTTTGAGCTAGTTTTTCTTGGCTCCCACGCAAGATACCAAGCAGTGGTCAACGGACAAAAGGGACCAAGATAAATTGGCTCAAAGTTAAAAGTTAGAAAAAATCTTACATGACTTTATATGTACATAATTGACCTCTCGATGCTGCTTTCTGCCGTTCCACAACTTGCCTCTTTCTACCTGGTTGCCTTCTCCTTTTTCATCCATAATTATTCTCTCTATTTCGCATCTGTCACAAGGCTTCCGTTTCCCTCTCTCCTCTCTAAATCTCTTCATCTCTAACACACTCTCTAATTTTTCAATGACTCAGGACGAGACGCAGGCGGAGCAGCCACACTCCCATGTGTGTGCTCGTCGGCTCATTGAGCTCCAAGAGGCCTTCTTTCTTTCGCTATGTTCCATTCTCCCTTATTTGTGTGTCTCTCTCTCTCTCTTTCTGATCTATTCCGTCCCTCTCTTGACATTCTCTCTGTGGGAAGATGAATATCCTTTTTCCATTTTGGGTCTTTTGGAGCATTTCATTATCTTTTTCTCATTTCTATTTGCCACAAATTTGTTGTCGTCGAATGCTGAAATCGTCACATATTTCGCAAGAAAAATGTTGTGTTCCGGCTTGGCGGAGAACAATAATTGTATGATTTTGTCTGGAGAGTAGGAAATCACTTTTGACCATTTTTTCCAGCTGTGAAATATATTTTTTGTCATTCTTGAAATCTGTTTTTTTTTAAATTTTGAGGTTCTTTTTGAAGATTTTCAAATCTGACCAACGATTTTCAGCTTTCTAAACATTGTTTGAAAATATTTACCGGAAAACCTGTATTAGAAGGGCCGGCATTGTTCCAAGGTACCTCCGGAGGGCCCTTCTATTACAGAGGCCCTTCAATTAGAGGGGGCCTTTCTATTTTCCGAGGTTTTGCATCGAAAAATTCGACGAAGTTTCGTTCAAAATTCTTGAAAATCTGCCAATTTCACCTAAATTTAGAAAGAATTTCATCGGAAAATGGAGTTTCAACGAATTTCTAATGAATTGTGGAGTTCCCGGAATATTTTTCACTAAAAAAGTAAAATTTTCTGATTTCAAATCACATTTTGAAGGGGGTCCTTTTTCACAGAGGACCCTTCTATTACAGGGGGCCCTTCTATTATAGGGGGTCCTTCTATTTTTCCTAGCCTTTCTCGGAGGGCCTTTCTATTAGAGGGGTCCTTCTAATACATGTTTTACGGTATACCTAAAATTTTCAACATTCCAATTTTTTAAAGATTAATTTCTAGAATCCTTAAAAGGTATTTCAAATCGGGACATTTTTTTCAACCCGCTAAAAATCGAATTAGCATTTTTCGGTGTAAATTTTAAATATTTCAAGTTTTAAAATTAATTTCCAGAATCTTCAAAATAGATCCTACATGTTTTGACCTATTTATCTTTTCGGAAATTTGCAATTTTCTGATCAAATATATATTTTTCTGAAGTTTTTGAAATCTATATACTTTAAAATATTATTTCAAAAATCAGTTTTTAAAAACTATTATAAGATTGTATCAAGTTCCTCTAGAACAGTGGAACTAACTTTTTTCCAACTTTCTATACATACATGAAATATCTGACTCACCAACCCCGATCAAACACTCATACTTCCAACTCTTCTTGATATCAGTTTCAAATATTCTCTGATTCTCTAATTCTCTCCATTTCCTCTTATCTCTCCTTCCTTTTCAATATTCTCTGTCCCATTTTCTCCAAATGTTTACACTTTTTATCATCACAGCATTGCACATTGACACCAAACTGTCAATTTTTCAATAATTTCCAACTTTTATTCTTTCGTCGTCTGTGTCTCTCTTAAAATATATCATTTCTCTCTAGCTCCATAATGAGCACTACACAAAACGAGCCACCACCATTCGGCCCAAGTACAAGTTCCATGGATCTGAGGGTTCCCATACCGGATGGTCCTTTTATTGATAACCCTAATTTTGTACATGAAAGTCCGCCTAGTAAGTTTTTGAAAATTCTGGAGGTCTGGAGAAATTTTTAAATTTTAAAAAGTTCTTGAAAAGTTTCGAGAATCTTCTAAAACTTTTTAATTTCTGAAATTCTAAAGTTCGGGAGTTCCAAAAAAAAAAAAATAATAATAAATAAAAAAATTTAAATTCTGAAATTGGAGAATGTCAAAAATCGGAAATTCTAAAATATAATATTTGAATTTCAACCTCTTTCCAGATGAAGAATCACAATCAACGCCACGTGGCAGCACGGCTGGCGATGGAGCTGTTGGCTCACCGAGCATGGAATTCGCCACGTCACGACCTGGAGGCTTGTCAACTATATCCGGAGTGTTTGCGCCGGTTGCATTGAGCATGTTCAGTATATTATTGTTTATGAGAATGGGTGAGTTCTTTGATTTTTTAAATTTTCACTTTGACGATTTTCATTTAAAATAATCGGTCTCATTTAAACCATTTTTTAAATCATAATATCGCCAACATTTTATTAGTTTACACAGTTTTGATATCTCTCATGGGAACCGAGATATCAAAGCTCAAACTTGACATTAAGTTAAACGTGAAACCGTTAATAGAAGGACACTTTCAACTTTGAGACAATTTATCTCGGTTCCTAAAAAAGATATCAAAAATGTGTCAACAAATAAATTATTTATCATAATATCACCAACATTTGATCAGTTTACACAGTTTTGATATCTCTCATGGGAACCGAGATATCAAAGCTTAAAGTATGTGGTGGGCTCCGATCACAGCAAATACGGCAGTTAAAAGTTTCTGGTTTCTTTTCTGAAAACGGAGATAATTAAGTACAAAGTTTGCATTACAAACTAAATATCTTATTTTCAGGATTCGTGGTTGGTCAACTAGGATTCCTCATGACAATACTTCAATTAGCAATGGCCTATGCTATAGTTATGCTTACCGTACTCTCACTATGCGCAATTTCATCGAATGGAGCTGTTGAGGGTGGAGGTGTTTATTGTCAGTTTTGAAAAAAGTTTTTCTCATGAATTGTAATACATTTACCGTAATACCTGTGATAGAAGGGCGCCCTAGCTTTCAACCAAATAATAGCTCAAATTTGACAGTCAGGTAGGGCCCGTCTATTACAGGGTTTACATTAATAAGCTCAAAAACTCGTAACTTCAAAATCCAAAACCAATTTCCAGACATGATCTCCCGATCTTTGGGTCCTGAGTTTGGAGGAGCCATTGGAGTGTTGTTCTTTGTCGCCAATGTTTTCTCATGCGCTTTGTACATTTCTGGATTCACGGAAGCGCTCATGAATAATATTGGAAATGGACGTAAGTGGCCTAACTTTTTGCAAGTTCAGTTTTCTAGGCCACCAAGTTTTATGGCCTAGGAATGATCAGATATTTATCCGGCACTTTTCCTAGGCCATTTTAACATAACCAGCAAAAAAATAGCTAACGAATTCATCAGTTTATTATCCTACCGAATTTTTTTTTAAAAACAAACAGTAAGCAACAGAAAATTGAAAACTACGGTGAGCATCATTACTTCAACGGACAAGATATACCAACGTGTGAAAAAAAAACAAGAAATTATTTCCGGGATGATGTGCGACGAGCCATGAGCCGGCTCTGAAAAACTGCTGGCGGCTCGTAATCATCAGAATCGTCTTCTGCTTCTCGACGAGCCTTCTTCTTCCTTTTGGCATCTCTGGCTCGCATAGCCTCCTTCTCTTCATCGGTTGCAGTTTTCAAATAGTTCCGCCGCCTCACGGCATCCTTCTCTCGTCGGATTGCTGCTTGCTCCGAAGTCTCTCTTTTCAACGCTTCCCTTCTTCGGATCGCATTCTTCTCCCGACGAATATCAGCCTGCTCCTTGGTCTCGTTAGCCAATGCATTTCGACGTCTTTCAGCTTCGCGGGCTCTTCTAGCATTCGCCTTGTCTAGTGACTGATTTGCAAGGTATTTTCTTCGATGTCCAATCGATTTTTCCCGACGAATAAGCCCCTCTTCTTCTGTCTCGTTGCATCGTTGAGCACGCTTACGTTCAGCATCTCGGTCGAGTCGCTTTCTTCGCTCTTCTTCAGATTCCAATGCTCGCCGCTTTCGACCATTGGCTTTGTTCTTCGCAAGACGTTTTCTTCTCTCGGCTTTGCTTTCCGACGCTCGAAGTTCTCGTTTTTTGGCGGCATCCTCTTGTCTCCGCTTTCTGAGCACCTCTTCATTTTCCTCTTCTTTTTCAAGGCTGAAAATCGGAAGGGTTTCAATAGGAATTCCGATTTTTCAATCTCTTACATATCAACTGCATACGCCATCGCCATAAGACCTTCAAAACGATCTTCTGTATTTACTTCTGGCTTCTTTTTAACCGGATTCTTTGAAATTGATTCCTCTTCAAGCTTAGCACAGTGAAGAGAGGATGGTCCAACCAGCGAGGTATCTGGCAATTCTGCAGCTATTGGAATTTTCGATTTGATGTATCCCTTAGCTGGACGACCAACTTTAGGAACCCGCTTCACATCCATTTACTGCCTGAAAATTAGTAAACTATGAAGTATTTGAATTTGATAAAAAAAGGGTTTCATAGAAACGGCAAAAAATTATTCGAAAATTGCATAATGATATAGGCACCAACACATATTGTCCGATCAATAATGACCGCGGAATACGGACGAGATGGGTTGGAAGAGACAGCCAGCCGCACAAACACACAGCGGGTCGATTCTGCTCTCTTCGCCTCTTCTCTTCTCTCTGTCTCTGAATAGCAAGAGGGTCGTAGGGGTGCCATAGTAGAGAGTGAGGGCGTTGTTAGGCAAGAGGAAGACAGCAACCGAACACTTGCGCTGTGTGCGAGAGGTCCATTTTTTGTGTTGTGCGATCTCTTGATTGTGCACACTATTACTCTGCTATCTGTCCACTGTAGAATTGAAAAATGGGGAAATAGGAATGGTGGTGGTATCGAGCAGGCCTCTGGCGCTTCAAACAGCTGACTGGTGCGCCTACGGCGCGAGATCGACAAGATATGTCACAATAACGATTTTTTGCTATGCAAACCGGGTTAAAAAGAAACAAACAAGAATAAAAGTCTAGAAATCGAGCAAAACTAACTAAATTCTTAAGGAGTTTAGAAACCTGATGACCTAGAAAATCAGGCAAAAAATTCGGGGGGGGGGGTACAATGATTCGGTGGTACAAGGGGGTACAACTGATTTAGGGGTACAAAATTGGTGATTCGGGGGTACAATGATTCGGGGGTACAAGGGGGTACAACTGATTTAGGGGTACAAAATTGGTGATTCGGGGGTACAAAATTCGTGGGTACAAAAATTCTGGGGTACAACGATTCGGGGGTACAAAATATCAATGATTCTGGGGTACAACCCATTTCATTTAGGGGTACAACGCTTGTGATTCGGGGGTACAATTTTTGTTGAGGGAGTTTCTGAATTCCTGAATTTCAGAGCTTGAAAATCTCAGAATTCTTAGAATTTCAGAACTTTGGAATTCCAGTATTCCGGAATTTGAAAATTTCGGATCTTCAGAATCTGAGAATCTGAGAATTTCCGAATTTCAGAACTTCAAAATCTCAAAGTTTCAGAACGTCAGAATCTCAGTATTTCGCAATTTCTGAATTTCCAAAAATTACGACAAAAGTTTTTCACTTCTCATTGTCACATTGTTCTCTCTGATTTTTTATCATATTTTTCACTCTTCATGAAAAAAAAATTGTAGAAAATGTTGGGCATCGGCTGAAATGCAGGAAATTTTTTTTTTAATTTTTAAGTCTCGAAATTCCCTGAAATCATACAATGGAGAACTGTAAAACATACTTGCAAAATCAGGGCCCTGCCAGGGCCCGTGACTCCTTGGCCAGGCCCGGCCCGGGTTCTCGAAATTTGAATTTTTTTTTTGGAAATTTCAGTCATTTTTTCGAAATTTTTGGTGAAAAAAATCATTTTTTATGGACACTCTTATTTTGAAGTAAATTTTCAGATTCCGAAATACTGGAATTCCAAAGTTCTGAAATTCTAAGAGATTTTCAAGCTCTGAAATTCAGGAATTCAGAAACTCCCTCAAAAAAAAAATTGTACCCCCGAATCACAAGCGTTGTATCCAAAAATGAAATGGGTTGTAACCCAGAATCATTAATAGCTTGTACCCCCGAATCGTTGTACCCACGAATTTTTGTACCCACGAATTTTTGTACCCACGAATTTTGTACCCCCGAACATACTTGTAAAATTCCGGGCCGGGCCTGAGGAAATTTTCAAGGCCCGGGCCCGGCCCGGAAGGCCCGGTAGCAAAAAATTTGTCATTTTGAGCCAAATTTTGAGCTCTCAATACAATTTTCTCCATTATTTTTGTGTTTTTGGATTGTTTGTCTGTTTGATCAAAAAATATATAAAAAAACTCGAAAAAATTTTTTTGATCGATAAAAATCACATAAGGGTCCCCCCTTATGTGTTTTTTAAAATTTTAAAAACTTGTGGAATGACAGACCCGCCGGGCCGGGCCGGGCCTCCGGAATTCGGGAAAAAGCCCGGCTCGGCCCGGCCCGTTACAAGTATGCCCCCGAATCACCAATTTCGTACCCCTAAATCAGTTGTACCCCCTTGTACCCCCGAATCATTGTACCCCCCGAATTTTTCGCTAGAAAATGACCTAGAAAATCCAAAAATCAGGTCATGACCCAGAAAATCCAAAATTAGGTCATGGCTAGAAAATCCAAAAATCAGGTCATGACCTAGAAAATCCAATAATTAGGCCATGACCCAGAAAATCCAAAACATTAGGTCATGACCTAGTAAATCCAAAAATTAGGTCATGACCTAGAAATTCAAAAAATTAGGTCACGACCTAGAAAATCCAAAAATTAGGTCATGACCTCGAAATCCAAAAAATGAGGTCATGACCTAGAAATCCAAAAAATTAGGTCTGGGGAAACGGAATGACATACAGAGAAGAAAAGAAGAAAAGAGACACCACATTTACCGTAAACACTATAATAGAACGCCACCCGAACGTCCTTGTCTGAACCTATATATCTCACTTTCTTTGAAAGATATCGAAAAGTTGTCAAGTAATAAAAAGTTTATCATGATATCAGCAACATTTCATTAGTTAATCACTTTTTGATATCTCCAGAAAATGAGATACATGGGCTCGAATTTGACGAATCAGGTGACGTTCTAATTTAATGTTTACGGTATTATAAGAATGATTGCCTAACTTTTGCAAGTTGAGTTTTCTAGGCCACAGAGTTTAAAGGCTTAGACATGACAACATATATGGAAAAGCAAAAGAAAAAGGAAATTTGGAATTCCCTATCTAGGAACTGAGGAATCTAGGAACTGAGGAATCACTATAGATGAGATCTGAAAAAAAAAGAAAATTATTTTCCAGAATTCCCCGATTCCCCAACGTGGCGATTCCTTTACTGCGTGCTTGTCTCACTGGTACTTCTCGTCCTCTCCCTTCTCGGATCTGCACTTTTCGCCAAGACCGCTCTTATCACTTTTATGCTCATCTCGATTTGTTATTTCACATGGATTTTGTCGGTTGTTTTCAACGGACCAATGGCAGTGGCTATTCCCAAGGTAAGCTTATAATCTAAAACTGAACTATTAAAGAAGAAGAGTTTTTAGGTCAATACTCCAGCATATCGAGTGTTGGTAAACGCCTCGGATCCATCACAGGGAACTGTAGAAGACTTTACCCAGAACCTGACGGCTAATTACACTGGATGGAGCTTCCACACACTTGGAGAGAACATGTTCCCAAATTACACCATGGATTATACCACTGAAAAACCCACCGACTTTGCTCTGATGTTTGCTATCATCTTTTCTGGAGTCACTGGTTTGATGGCTGGAGCCAATATGTCTGGAGAATTGGCCCGCCCATCAGTATCCATTCCACGCGGAACTGTGCAAGCAGTGTTTACAACGCTGTTCGCCTATATCGCTACTGCATTCTTGATGGCTGCCACTTCAAGTAGATATTTGCTCCAGAATGATTATACGGTCATGATGGATACCAACTTCCATAGAATTTTCATTTTGATTGGAATCTTCTCAACGACACTGTTTTCGTCTATGAGTAATCTGATTGGTGAGTTTTCAGAATCTGGGAATCAAAGAGTCTAAAATCTATCCTATACAGGATCCTCCCGAGTCCTAAACCGTCTCTCCCATGACAAACTCTTCGGTTGCCTCCTCCGACCAGCCAAAATCGAAATCGGCGACCGTAACCCAGTGGTATCTGTGGTCATCACCTGGATCTGTGTCGTTCTTGTCTTCCTAGTTGGAGCTATGAACAAAATCGCCAAGCTCACCTCGATCTTCTTCCTGTTGAGTTATATGGGTGTAAATGTTGCTACGTTGGCATTGGAGCTCACTAGCGCTCCAAACTTCAGACCCACATTCAAATACTTTTCTTGGCAAACGTGCGCCCTCGGAGTTATCGCTACTGGAACTATGATGTTAGTGGTGGATGCGTCTATGAGTGCGTTGGGTGTTGTAGTACTAATGACATTGATTATGGTTCTCCATTATCAGGTAAACTAAATGGCTAATTAAATCAGAGCTAATTAATACCAACTTTCAGGCGCCAAGTGTTTCTTCGGGATCAATTTCCCAGGCGCTGATCTACCATCAAGTTAGGAAGTACCTACTTTTATTGGATGTCAGAAAAGAGCATGTGAAGTACTGGCGTCCCCAAATCCTCCTTCTTGTTTCCCGACCAGCATCCGCTTGCTCCTTACTGGACTTTGTGAACGATCTCAAGAAGTCCGGACTCTATGTAGTAGGCCATGTTCGGAAAGGAGATATGGATTCATCTGCAGTGGTCGACCCTCTTCAACAAGTCTTCCCTTACTGGCTATCCCTTATCGATTACCTAAAACTAAAGGCATTTGTAGAGCTAACAATGTCAAACAACATTCGACACGGAATCCAGCAACTTATGAGACTCTCTGGTCTAGGAGCTATGAAGCCAAATACTGTAGTCATTGGATTCCATGAGTTGGCACCTAGTCAAGCGACGCTTCAAGAGTCTCAGCTTCTCAAGGATCTCCGATTCTCGAAAATTGACAGAGCTGCTGTAGTGGAATATTTTACTGCCGGAGACTATATGCCAAAAGAGTTGAATGGAAATTTGGAGAGACTGGCACCAGTGGATTATGTGAATGTCTTGAAGGATGTGTTGCATATGACGAAGAACTTGTGTGTCGCTCGACACTTTTCAAAATTAGATAAGGAGGCGTTGTCAAGAGGATGGAATGGACAGAAGAGATATATTGATGTGTGGCCGGTGGACTTGCAGAAGCCACAGGAGACAGGGCTTGGATGGGATAATAGGTAAGAGGAACTTTATATCCTAGCGTCTGTATAAATCCCCAATTTCCAGCTCTCTCTTCCTTCTACAATTGGCTTGTATCCTTTCAATGTCTTCGCGCTGGCGATCCTACACCAAGCTTCGTGTGTTCATCTGTGTCAATTCTCTTCAGGATATGCATAGACGGGAGAGACAACTGAAGAACATGCTTCAGACATTGAGAATCGAAGGAGAGTCATCAGTGGTTCCTTGGGATCATGTTGTATGTCACTATCAACCAACAAACGGAGCAAGTGGCAATACTACCATGTGAGTTGGACATCTCTAGAGACAGAAGTCTGGATCTTTTCGGAATTGTGGCATCTTCAGAATTTCCGAAATTTTCGGATATCTGAACTCCGTTCTGAACATCCCTGGTCTGGGTTGAAATGAAGCCTGAAATATTAGATCTTTGTAACTTTGATACTTTCAGCCCATCTGTTGACCTTCCACCTGCATACATCAGCGCATTCAACGACATGGTGAAGAGATATTCTGAAGAAGCAGCCATCACCCTTCTGAATCTTCCAGTTCCACCAAACAGTGCGGAGGATGACGGAGAGAAGTAAGCCATCATTCTGAGCCGTCTAAATTGAACTTTTTGATATTCCAGATACCTCGAAATGGTCCGAAACCTGACCGACGCTTTCCCACCAACACTTTTGGTTCATGGTGTCTCCTCGGTTATCTCGACGGCTCTATAGAAAATTTCAGAATAGAACTTCTGGTGCTTTCATTTTTACTTAAATTTCCAGATTTTTTCTGCCCCATCACTTCTTCTCCTCCCTATGTGTGTATTAGCCATATTGTCTGTGTGATTTCACTTTTCTCTAATTTATTGAACTTGTCGTGTAAAATGAATTGTTCTTGATCTTCTTGTTTTCAGGACTCTCAAGAAATTCTACAGTAGGCATGGGCCAAAAATTTCCGGGAGCTTTTTGGGTGAGCACGCCAACTGGGAGGAAACGGAGAAGTGGTAAGAACTTGGAAAATGGGCGGAGTCTGGGGCGGAGCCTAAATTGCAAGATGTGCTTTCCGCGCGGTTTTTTTACATGGTCATATACCAAACGGCATACCGAAATAAGGCTTCACTTCCATTAGGGTTGTTGCTGGCCGCCAGTGCCAGAGCTATGGGCCTTTCAATTTCACGTGATTTGCTGTGCTCTCCTTTTTGAGGTTACAGTATGCCTTCTGATGTGGAGGTGTACAGCTTTCAGTTCGGTTGTCTCAGCTTACGCCACCGTAGCACGGCTGGCGCCTCCAGCATTGGGTCCACAAGTTCCACTCCTCGAGGGGAATTTTTCCAGTCTTCTGTACCTTTAAGCTCTCAAAAAAAAAACCCGACCCCATCTATTTTCTGACCCACCCAGTCAGTCCACAACCAAATTATTAGCCTCTCTCCCTCTCCTAAAAAAAATATTTTTTTCCTATTTTCTCTCTGCTAACCCCAAGGGACCCATAGGAGATTCCTTTTTTTCCTCCCTCTCTCTTCCCATCCAAATTCAAAGCTCAAAAGTATGTGTGCAAGCATACACACACATTCTGCATTCTTGTTGTTACGGAGGAAGAAGAAGAAGAAGAAAAAAGAAAGAAAAAAGAAGAGTATGTAGACCTCGTCTTGGCACAACTCCGTGGAATGTCTGCCGTATCTTGTGGTACAGTGTACTATTTCTTCTTCTCCCGTCTTGTAGCTCAAGAAGAAGCCTTCTTCTTCTTCTTCTTCTTCTTCGTCCTCGGCCAAATCTTTCCTCTTTTTCTCTCTACTTTTTTTCCACTACTCTACTTTTCGTCCATCTGAAGAAAAAAAAATACACGGCACACCCCTTCCGACGTCTTCTTTTTTTTCTAGGATACTCTTAGCCGCTCGGAGTTTGTATTTGTGTACCTTCTCCCTACTACTTCTTCCTATTTTTGTTTCTAGATTGCAAACAAATGTACATTCTCTCTTTTTTGGAAGAGGGAGACAGCTGATTTCTATTTGTTTTTGCACCGCACTACTACAAATCCTTGAGATTTCTGCATTTTGGTCGATTTCGGGTGCAAAATTGACCTATAATGTTTAGAGATCGTTTTGCAGAGATTTTAAGACCTTAAAAACATTTCGATTCAAGCAAAAATGCTTTTTAGGTGGCGTACTTTTTTATCCTTTTTCACATTGGCGCTAAATACAGTAAACACTAATAGAACGCTCCCAACCTGTTAACTTTGAGCTAATTTATCTCGGTTTATGGGAAAGATATAAAAAAATGCAAAACTGTGAAAATATTCCACTCATTATGATAAACATTTTAGAAGTTGACAAAGTTTTGATATCTTGTATATTAATCGAGATAATTGAGCTCAAACTCAACGGTGTGCGGCCCCTCTATTACATATTTTTGTGTCCGTTTGTTCCCGGCCCCTAGCGAAATCCCCACTGGACTAAAATTTTCCAAAATTTCACAGATAATCCGAATGAGCAGCGAGATGATGCTTGTCTATTTTCATTTTTACAATATCAAAAGTGGGGGTTAGGAGACTTCAAACACTTTTTTTGGGGAACGTTTAGGTGTTTTCCTATTCACAAAGTAGGTTTACAAGTTCACGATAAATTTCACGCCGAAGCCTGTCGGCGTCCATAATGTTTTGGTGTGAGTATATTCAAAAAACCAGCAGATTGTTTCTGAAGTTAGTCTTTCTGACCTGGTTGCACTGTATTATGAAAATCAGATTAATGTTATGATTAGAGCTTTGTCTGTTGATCGCTACTACAACAGATAAGTTGATTACCTGTATTTCCTGGTAACAGCACCTTCAACTTTGAATATCTCGGATTCTGATAAATAAGACGTTGCCAGCCTAATATGGAGTTCGTTAAATAATTTTAAAACTGTTCAACCTGATAAAATTTCAAGAATTTCGTTTTCCACTTTTTCAGATCCGATATTTGATGATTTAAACTCAATTCCAAATTATTATGTAAACTATCGTGTGTCTTTCAAATTGCATTACCTAACTTTTAGACCTTTGCCTATTATTCATCTATATTCTTCTAAAAAAGCCAATTGGAGCCCCTCCTTCACTAGATATCTTTTCCCCAAATTCTATTCCTCTATTTTCCTCCCCAACGAACGAACACACGCAATCATTAATCCTCGTCCCTAGTAGTCGTTTCTTATTCTCCCGCCCAAAACCAACTCTAATTTCGTTCGGTCCGCTAATTCCTTTCTCCATCCACACAGAAAAGCCCCCAAAATTATCGAATTCCAGAATGGAAAACATAGAAAGAGAAGGCTAGTCACTCTTTTCGGTTGATGAGCCAAAAATGTCCGAAATTCCTTTTTGAAAAAGCGGAATCCGGAATCCAGAACTCGGAATTTCCAATCCGCCCAAAAGTTTCACGTAAACCATGATAATCTGGGGACTGGACATCTCTTGCCAATTTAAAGCGGAAATTTAGGAAATGAGGCTTCCATTCGGGCGGGAAGTTTAGCCGATCGACCGACCACCGACCCCGCCGACCGTTTTCGTTCCTTTGCGCGTGAACATGCCAGAGTTTTTGCGTACGAAGAATTGTATTTTACGACAAACCACTTACTAAATGCCTCCTCTGTTGTAAAATAGAGTGCTTCGTACGCAAATATAGGCATTTTAATGCGCAGAAGCACGAAATCGGTCGGCGCGGTCGGTGGTCGGTCGGCGGTCGGCGATTTTCGACCGACCGAAATGGAAGCCTTAGCAGGAAAATAAAAACTTTCACCATCTGAAGCAGACTACCGTACTCCCTCTAATTGAATGTTTCTCTTTTCGTCATTTTTTTTTTCAAAATCTCACGAGACCTGTATTTTGGTTTACTGTGTTCTTTATGAATCCTTTCTGTATTTCCGGGGTTTTAAAAAACTCCGACTTTCTGTCTTTTCGAGATTTGTCCTTAAAAACTCAACTAACAATTGTTGTAAAAAACTGTAATAGAAGGGCCCCCCCCCCCCCAACTTTTAACTTTGAGAAAATTTATCTCGCTTCCTGTTTAATATATAAAAACGTTTTCAACTGATAAATTGTTTTGCATAATATCACAAATATTTTATCAGTTGACACATTTTTGATATCTTGTCTAGAAACCAAGGAAATTAGTTCAAACTTCACAATGTGGGGGCTTTCTACTGTTTTCAAGTCGTATGCCTTGATATCCACATTGTTGTTATTCTCCTGCTTTTACCTTCAACTCAATTCCTAACAATTCATATAATTCCCCGATCTAATTTGATAATTCCCCCAAGAACCGCTATCTTCTAGACTCTAGAATCTAGACCCATTCATGTTATTCAATTTATTCGGAGCTTCACTCTTCTCCATATATTTCTTTCTTTTTTCTTATTTCCTTTCCCTCCGCCAACCATCATCAACCTTTTTTCATTTTCCTTACTTTTTTGGTTCTTCCAGTTTCTCGAAGACCCATTAATATTCGAGGCGCCTCGAGACTACCCCCTACATCCATCCATACACACATGCTAATCCCATTTTTCTTACGGGGGCCGGGGTCGGGCCGCCCGAAAAGAAAAAAAAAGGAGAGTGCATATGGAGGGACCCCTAACTGGGTAATGGGTATTGACGGGTTTCGGCACACAGAGAAATAGGAAGGGACGGGACGGAAAAGGATAGAGAGAGAGGGAGAGAGAGTTTTCCGGAGAGAAAGAACAAATGGAAAAATATCGGGAGAGCATTCGAGAGTTTTTTTTCGGCTTCTCGCTGACTTCTTTTAGAAGATTTTGAACATTTTTCACGATTTTTATGGATAGTACAAACTAGTTTTCTTTGTTTTTGAGCTCATTCAATTTTTTCGTTTTGAAAACCGCAAGCCCATCCAGACTTACCTGAATATTTAATAAAATTAATATTTCAAAATGTCTCGATTTGTAAAATTCCAAAAAATACGAAAAGTTTAAAACTACTAGTTTAGGTCATTGAAAAAAGTTTTTAGGCGCTTGAAAGAGATTTTCAGACCCTTCTTCTCAGAATTTTGAGGAACAGTCAGATTTAAAAAAAATTTTCTTGTTAACTTTTCAAATATATAACCCGGATTTTCACTAACTTTTTCAGAAAGCGGTAAAAATATTCTAGGAACCGCACTGTCAAGTTTGAGCTAATTTATCTCGGTTCCCATCAAAGATATCAAAAAGTTGTCAACTGGTAAAATGTTTATCGTAATATTAACAATTTTTTATTAATTTTCAAAATTTTGAAATCTCTTACAGTAACCGAGGTACACTTCCTCAAAGATTGATAGTGTGGACCTTCTGATTAATGACCTCTCTAACTTTAAACTTTGAGCTAATTTATCTCGGTTCTCATCAAAGATATCAAAAACGTGTCAACTGACAGAACACTTCTGATGATATGATAAACAATTTATCAGTTGACAAATTTTTGATATCTTTGACAGGAACTGCAAAAAATTGCTCCAAGTTGAAAGTAGGGAGCCCTTCTATTAAAGGTTTTGACAGGAACCAAGATATATTGGCTCAAAATCAAAATCTGGGGTTCTTCTATCACAGGTTTGGAGGAGCCATTCCTGGTATCATCAATTAGAAACGTCAAAATTACATAAAAACAAATAAACTCATTATTTTAATAGGAAGTCAAATCTTGAGATTCAAATTTGCCATGACAGCTTCAGACATTCTTGACAGGCGTGACCAAGATTCAAAAATTGAATTATAGTTTTTTTGGAAACAATTCTGCTCGTCTAGTTAATTCAGAATTTTTCTCATTCTTCTAGTTTTTATGCTGATCTAGATTTGATAAAAACATTTCACATTTATCGATTCACATCTCCTTTTTTCCAAAGAATCATTTTTTGACCCTCCTTCTGCCCGGACCTTTTACCAAATCGCTAATCCCACAAAAAATGACATAAGCTGTGCTGAAAAAAGGCAACAGAAACTAGGGATTCGTGAATGAAATTTGATATTTTCTCGCCTTCCTCGTCGTCTTCTACTTCTATCTATCCAGTTTTTGCATCCTTCAGTTTGCACTCGTTTTCCCCGCCATCCTCCTAAAAAAGTGATGGAGGGACCCCTCCATTTATTCCGTTTTTTTTCGGGGGCATTTTTTTCCGAAAAGAGACTCTTTCCGATTGGTTTCTCACACTTTTCCCACCCCACCATCCTCATTTCCTATGCTTCGCAGTTTGCTTTTTGGGGGTCACATTTTCTGAAGACGAGTAAGGACTTTTGATGGAGCTTTCTTTATTATCAACGACCTTCTTCTTTTTTTCTTGTATTTTTTTTCAGTAAAAATAGTTACATATTTCAATTCTACGTAGTCGATTACATAAGTAGGCAAATTTTCATATCGATCCTTCTTTTCTAGCCATAGTTACAGCCGGTCGGTTTTACCCCAGGAGGCGTTTTTACTGAAGCTCCGCCCCTTTTTTCTGTGATCGCTACTTATCAGCTGAGATTCTCAACTTTACCTGTATTCAAATTCGTATCCATTCTTTTTCATTTTGCACTTTGTCCAATAGCAATATACCGTAAACACACTATTAGAAGGTCACCCCATTCTTGCTCTTTGAGCTCATATATCTCGGTTCCTGTAAAAGATTCAAGATATGGTCAACGAAAAAATGTTTATCATAATATTAAAAACATTTTGTCAGTTGACAAAATTCTGATAGCTTTCACTACCGAAGCGAGATAGTTGAGCTCAAATTTTGTGTGGTGGTTTTCTATTAGAGTTTACCCCTTTTATGTTTTCAATGAGGCTCCGCCCCTTTTTCTGAAGTCGCTATTTATCAGTGTTCAAATGTGTACCTTTTTTATTTTCCTTTGTCCAAAAACAAAATATCTCATATTAAAAATCCCAAAGACCTCCATTTTCAGACCCTTACCTAGATTAGATTCACCATCAACCACGCGACACCGTGCATCACCAACCGCAGCCATCGGTGTCACGTGAACGGTCTCGTAGTCCCGGCTTGAACCCCTACGAGACCGTTCCGTGTCAGCCGTCGTCGTCGTCTGGAGTTCAGCCGGGACCATCGGGTGCACAATATCAGCCACCAATTCACATTGAAGTTTCGGTAGACTTCACACGGCCAGATGGACAGAGAACGAGGCCACTGTTGGTGGAGAACCGACGGCTATATGTTGATGAGCATTACATATCTGTATGGAGCCCAGTTTTGAGGTGAGAGTGCGAAGAAATGGTGGCCTAGGCTTAGTTTCTAGGCCACAAGGGTTTAATTGTGGTATCTATTCTTATGAGGCTACCATAGAAAGGTACTACCTTTTAACTTCGAGCCAATTTTTTTTCGGTTCCTGCCAAAGATATGAGGAAGATGTCAACTAAATTATTAATCAGAATGGCAGTTGTGTTTTATCAGTTGACACATTTTTGATATCTTGCACATGAATTGAGATTATTGAGCTCAAACTTACAGTGTGGGAGCCCATAGACTCTTAAGAATATTCATTGAATTCTCGCAGAACCAAAATTGATCCTTTTTCTCAGAGCCTGGTGTGTGGAATGTCCAGATCGAGAGCTAATCCTAGCCAATGTCCAATACGAACACGTTCTAGAGATGCTAGAATGCATACACCCCACATATAAAGCTGTAGATGATCAATCCGTGCATATTTTACTTCCGTTAGCTTATGATTATCAGGTGAGGAGTCTTACGAAAGACATCAGGATAATCAGATTTGCAATATCCAACTTTCCAGATGGAAGGCCTCCTTCACCGCTGCGAATGTTTCCTTATCAGTCACAACCTGCCATTTCTAGAAAAAGTATGGATAGCAGATAGATACAAATTGAATCGACTACTAGTTCTATGTCTCCGAGAGATGCGTCCAAATAGCAAAGTAGATCTTAATGGATCCCGTTACTATGCACTTTCTGATAGAGTGAAGGTGTTGCTTCTGGAACGGTTACATGGAGCAGCGGCACCTGAAGAGATTCTGGAGCCCCCATTGGATCTAGAACCTTATCAGAGGCAATCGGATGTTAATTTCGCTGCGGTTAGGGCTAAAACCGGTCGACTGTATTATGTGAATCCGTACTACATGGCTGCCTGGAGTAATGTGTTTGAAGAGAAGCTGTGCAGTACTTCGAGCGGAGTTGAGGAAATGTTCTGCCCGTGTACACATGAAGAATTGAAAGCCTTTCTAATGGCCATTCATCCACCACAGTTGAGGATCAATGGTAAGAGTCTTTGAGATCTTTTTTAAAGGATTATTTCACAGAAACCAACATCGGCCCAATTCTAATGTCGGCGTGCAAAATGGAATCGCCAGCTCTTCTTCGGAAATGCGCAAATCTTCTGTTATCTCCACACACCCAATTGTCCGTATTCGTCAGACTATCCCTTCTCGACAGATGTTTCCTCCATGAGATGTTGCCTCAGTGTTTGCAGATGGTGTTGAGACCGGAGAATCTGATTCAGATGACGCAGCAGACAACTTGTGAGATTTTGACAAAAAACACAATTTACCGTAAAACCTGTAATAGATGCTAACTTTCAACTTTTAGCCAATATTCCTGTGAAAGATATCGATAAGTTGTTAACAGATAAATTGTTTATCTTAATATCAGAAGTGTTTTATTAGTTAAGATGTCTGATATCTTGCACAGGAATTGAGAATTGACTACTGACAGGAATTGAGAATTGAATTGACTGGACAGTGTTACGGTATTTTAAGCATATATGATTATGGCTCGTATTTTTCCCATAGAAATTATCCCTATAGATACCGTAAAACCTGTATTAGAAGGGCCCTCACACTTTCAAGTTTGACCTGAATTATCTCGGTTTCTATGACAAATGTCAAGAAGTGGTCAACTGATAAAATGTTAAGGATATTATGATAAACTATTTATAAGTTGACCACTTTTTCATATCTTTGACAGGAACTGCGAAAAATTGGCTCAAAGTTGAAAGTTAGGGAGCCCTTCTATTAAAGGTTTTACGGTATTCTATGCTTCAAGTTTTCCTGAGTTATTCAACCTCTGAATTTCTCAATTCTTGAGCTTTTGAGTCTTCTGATTTTGGAATTCGCGAATATCTGAGTGTCTGAAATCCTGAAATTTCGAATTTTCGATTTTCAGAATCTCGGGAATAAGAATCCAAAAAGTTCGGATGATAAATTGAGTTCAGAAAAATTGAATATTCCAGACGACTGCCTTTCCACACGAGCCAAAGCTGCTATGATGGACCGCCTAGGGATTCTCTTGGACAATCCCGGCCTACAATCCCATCACTGCTCCAGATGCAAAGCCACGAATACCTGTGGAGCGGTCACATGGATGTGTCCATCCTGCAAAACCTACTCAACAGACACGAATCTCGTTCGGAACACCAACACAAACAATGTTTCAACGACGACGAATACTGGATACGGTGCCAATGCCACAACCGTAGACAAAACCCAACAGGGTTACGGTACTACTTCGACTATGAACACAGGATACGGTAACGCTGGGGGTACAGTAGGTGGATTCAAATGATAGTGAAGCTATAACTAATTTATTTTTTCCTTTTTCTTGTCAACAGAATTTTAATTTTTGCATTTTTATAAAATTTCCAAAAATCTTTCTTTTTTCTCAATTTCTGCCAGCTTTCTTTCATCCCACTCATTTTTTGTGTTCGCCTTTGAATTGAAAATTAATAATAAATATTTATTGGTTGAACCATCAATTGAACATAAATTATAAAAGTCGCTGTTTAGGAGCTTTTGGTGAATGATACAATATGAAATTCCTCTGTAATGGATGTGTAGAATCCATCAATTGATCATGATTCAACCCGTCTCGTTTTACAAATCCAGTACCTCCACGGATTGGAGAAACTGGACGACCACAAGATCGGAATCCGATTTTTTCATCGGCAGTTGAGAATATGGAAAAGGTATAGGAGCCTTCGTAACGCTGCTGGTTATTGATGTCTTGGAGGAATTCCGAATCACAGTGGAGACCGTTTCGTCTGGAACCAAGACATTTGGGTTGAACAAAGCATACAGTGACGGTCAAAAATAATTGAGAAATTGAGAAAAAACAAGAAGCTGAAATCCTAGAGGCTTCAGAATACCGTACTGGTCAATAAGATATACAAAAACATAGTTTCCAGTTGATTTTGACCATTTTCAGGAGTCTAGAGCTCGGCTGTCAAGTTTCACTTTGAAAATGTAAGTGGGTGTTAAACAGACCTTGAAAACTTTGCATTCACAAAATTATTTGAAAATTCCCTTTTTGAAAATTCTGTGAATGCTAAGTTTCTAATCCAGTCCTATTTTGAACTCTCCGAAATTTTCCAAGTGATTGGAAACTAGACAGTCGAGGTCCAGACTCCTGGAAATGGCTAAAATGGCTGAAAATGGGTTTTCAGCATCTCGTGTCGTTTTTCTTCTATTATTTTTTTTAAAAATAAAACTCACTTATTACAAGTTCCAACTGGTACGGGTACAATACACAAGACACTTCCGTAGTTGGCACCAGCTACTGACAAGAAGGTATCCACCAATTCGGTTAGTGGAGCGCCTGAATTTCAAAAATTGAGTTAAATAAAATTGAGTTAAATTTCCATTTTAGAGAGAAAGTTATTTCTCATCCAAAAAAAAATAGGTGCCCACTGATCTTTAAAGATTTTTTTGACAGCTTAGGTACCTTAAAGGGGGACTCCGACCAAAAATTTTTATTGCATTAAAATGTGTTAAAAGTTATCTATTTTCCGAATATTATTGCGAAAAAATTCAAAAAAAAATCCGAAATCCCCGAAAAACGGCGTTGAAAAGGAAGAAAATTCAAAAAAAGGTGCCGCCGGGGGACGAGGATTTTCAGTGAGAAACCTAGGCCACGGCAGCGGGCGCCTTTCCTACG